ATACTGGAATAGGTAGATAATTAATACATTAACTGGCATATAGCCCGTCATTTTTCTACAATCAAGGCTAAAATATAACAACTGATACTGGAATAGGTAGATAATTAATACATTAACTGGCATATAGCCCGTCAAAAATGACGGGTCAAGTATTAACACCCCCACCCCATAATATACCCCAACCTCACATTTCATAGATAACTGAAATAAACTTTGCGAAATCAAGCTTGAACAACAAAGAGGCAGAAAAGTGCAATCAAACGTCGGTAAATTCCGTTGTGAGCCAATTAAGATCGTTCATAAAATGAATTCGTGGCGTATTGATAGAATAATTATTGGTAAAAATCAGTTAGATTTTATAATATATAATATATAGAAAAGCTAGTGGGTTTTGGTTTGTTAGTTATGGATTTCGCGCACACCTACACGCGCTAGCCGTCCCTAATTTAGCAGTGTAAGACTAGAGGGAAGACAGCTATTCATTACCACCCACCGCCAACTCTTGGGCTATTCTTTACCAACGAATAGCGGAATTGACCGTCACATTATAACGCCCCCACGGCTGAAAGGGCGAGCATGTTTGGTGTAACGAGGACTCGAACCCACAAATTGCGAGTCGAGTGCCCTGACCACCTGGCCATGTCGGGCCGTGTGGGTTTTGGTAACACTACGTTACAATAATGGCTTTTATGTCATGTTGCTTAGCAACAAAATTATAACCTAATATTGTTGCTAGTCTGTGTACTGAAAGTATAAAAATAAAATGTACAAATAAAACTGAAAAATATTTGTTGATTTCTTAATTTAGAGTCACCTTTGATTAAAGATGTTTGTTTTCTTATTAAAAATGTTGGTGGTATAACAGAAAATAGCTTAATTCAGAAACGATTTAAGTTTAAAATTGAATCGATATTTTTACTTTCATGATAAATTTTATGCACTTGGCTCTAGGCTAGGTGATCCCACACTACGTCTTTACTTTAGGCTTATTATACCAACACTTACTACACTTATAAGGTTTCACGGTACCACCACCCACCTTGTACCCCCGTCATTAAAATCGTAATAGGCAGACAGTACTCGAACTATTCTATCTAGACAAATGCATTTTGGCTTTTATGACTCCTCCTATTTCGAGAAATCAAGCGTGATGTGACGTGGCACACAATGGCTTTTATATTGGTTAGACTACGAACCAAATATAAATATCATAAATTAGAAAATAAATTTACAGAGTTTGTTTTAGGTTGTAAGAACATTGTATCTACAACCACAGTACTCTGTAACCAACGTGACATTTTTATCGAAATGTCCAAAATCATTTGTAAGGATCACAAATCATTTTTAATAATAATAAAAAAAAATGTTTTAAAAAACGTACGTAAAATGACCATAATTATCGCGAGTCAAGGAATCTAATTTTTTCTTGTTGAAAGAAATTCGCCAATCAAAAGCTGATCGCACGCATATATTCAAACTTCGTGATTATGTCACCCCAAAACACAGTGTTTTTCTATTGTTTCTTCTTCTTCATTCCTTCATTTTCTGGCTGATTAACTTGAAACTTGGTAGGAGTATACTTTGGTTCAATACGTCGAGACTCCTTTTTAATTTTTTTTCCCCTTTTAAGGCTTTTATGGG